TCGCAAACAAACACTCCACGGTTCTCATTCACAATGTCCGGGCGCGACCTAAACTACAGAGGACTCCCCGGGGTTCCTCCGATACCCGGACACAACTAACTCCATTCATACTCTAAATGTACATACCAGATTCTGAAATCGTCTGACAAAGGCTAGCGACCATTGCGTATTTATATTATAGATAACATTTTAGTATAATATAAAATCTTTATATAATTTAATATAATACAAAGTCATTCATCAAGTATATTGTATTTATTACTTTATTCTAGTATGAATTACTAGAATTATCGTGTATGGAAACGAATACATAAACAGCAAAATCAATAATTAATTTGATAAATTGGTAAGTAAAAATTGAATGTTGCAGTTAATAGAAATCTAGAGAATTGTAGTGAATTGTTTAAACGACGCACTTCCGCAACCTAACCACAACACACACATGTGGACAGTACGTCGCGCACGATTCACTAACCAATGTCAGTCGCCAATATTATTATACATTATAAATAAATTCATCATGCCCCGTTGCCTTCGCTCATGCAAATAGCACCTGGGCATGTGCATGAACTTAGGCAACGAACACGGAAAAGTATCCTGAAAATCCTGACTAGAAAAGTTAAATAAATATAACTAAACGGCATTTCTTGTTTAATTAGTTAAAACTCGATTTCATATATTTAATATATCAAGAATAATATAGATTAATATTGAAAAATATTATTATTCAAGAAAATTATTATGAATTTAAGTTAATTATTTGAAGCGAAAGACTTAAATTAAGATTTTGTAATAAAATAATTTGCTTTAAAAATTAAAAATACATTATTGAAATGAATTGATTAAACTGGTATTTAAAATATTTAGTTATCCTTGGTCGACTCTGTCGTCAAAGTAAATTTGTCAAAAGATGAAATTAATATACAATGCATGTTACTTTGACTCAAAAATCGACCAGTCGCGTAATGCCTTCTTGCACGTAAAATGCATCGAGTGATGTATTAATTAGGGAAACGATCGATATTTAATTATTATATTAACATGGAAAAATTAGCGCATAATGTCATGGCAATTGATATTTATATTTTACTCAATCATATGATTAATATAATGTCTCCACATGGAAATATTTCATATATTTTGTAAAAAATATTTATTATACTGTAAAACATTTATTTGTTACATTAAAAAACGCGAGTGCAAGAAGACCCTAGCCTGCGCTAATGAAATATAACAATAGATGTTACCAGGCGCGGGTATGAAAAATACCCGCGGTCACTAAACTTGCCAAAAATACTAAGTATACAACTGGTCACCCGTGTTGATTCGGATCTTTCATCCTACAACATGGTTGGGGACCAGAGGAAACTAAATAGCATGCAACTCACCTATGATGAACTTCATGGGATGTACCTTTGGGATGTTGCTGCCTAGTGGGAGTCATCGAGGAAATCATCAGTCATCAGTCGGCCTGGTCCTGCTGGTCTTCAGGATCAGGTCCAGGAACTGTAACAAGCCAACAAGAAAACAATTACAATCTATTGTTAAAATTATAGAGATTTTTAATTAAAAATTGAAAATATAAATTTATACCTACATTGTTCGCTCGTGGAGCACCGCCGAATAATCCTCTTCAGTGATGCACTGACATTAATTCCGGTAACGAGGAGTTTAAATTTCAAATTGAAAAAGTAATTAATTTGATTAGAAAATATTGAATTAGTTTACCGCGACCTAAGATTGAAATCGGAGAACAAATGACGACTCTATTCTCACAATTCAGAAAACAAGGAGAGCCGCGATGCTCTGTAAATAATTTTAAACTACGTAAGAAACACTGTTTCTACTATCGCGTTTGCCTAACTACGTTATACGACAGCCTACTCAGGGTCACTTTACCCTGGAAACTGTTGCTACGCACAATCACTGAATCTACTGGCCGCATTACGCGCGGCCAACAAATGTCCTGAAAAAAGAAGCTGGAAAGAAAAGGACAGGAGACAAGAAATACAACGAGCACACGTGTGCTTTTCCTATCGGTTTTCTTTTTTTTCTCCTTACTCAATGTTCGTCAACAGAAGTACTGCTTTACTGTTATATAGTTCGTTACGATTGACCGTAAAAGGTCAATGCGACGAAGGCGAGATATTCTAAAACGATGTAAATTTCAACGATAAAATATTATCCAGAAAATAATCACTTCAAAGTAATTATTCAATTTATCAAAATAATATCAACAACTTTCACAGTTAGAGTTGTATTTTATCGAACGTTTGAATATATCGTAATTTTCATAAATATTCTGAAATTTGCACAAATTAAAGTTCGTTAATTATTTATGCTTTAATAACACATTGCAACTACGTAGTTTCTACGTTTTCTTAAACTTGCATCAAAAATGTATACAAATTACAATTACAACAATTCATAAAGACAGATTTATAAACAATCAATTTAATAAATTATACTCGCGGCCAGAATACAGTTAAATATAAACCATTCGAATTTACCCTCAATGTCTACCGTTAGCCATTCCTAAGTATCACACAAACGAAAGTACTTTGATATATATCGAAAAAGGTAAAAAGTTCATTAACCATTTTCGTGATTTATCTTAACACGTATCGATTATAAAATTATGTATCAACAAATAACTTAATAAATAGACAAAAATATATAAATATTAATATGTACGTTACTTTTTGTTATACTAGGTTAAACGTTACCAATATTGCCTTCGAAAGTCGAGTTGTCTGCCATCTACCGTGGTGTCATTTACGCGCCAATATTCTATGACGTCGTATTCCAATCAGAGACTGCCACAGAAATAAAATACAAATTAAAGTCAAACGAAATGAAATAAACATATCTAATCATAATTAAACAATAATTTATGTACAAGATTCGTAATTTCGTTTATGGAGGTATAATGAATCGACGCCGGTTAGTTATCGAAGAAAACGCGCGAAACCCGATTCAGTTTTTGCGACAATTCCGACTTAATTTATAGTAGAAACGTATTAATATTACACGAAACCACCGTTCGAGAGCAAACGCGTGTAGTAATGATGATGAAATATCAACAGGTTAGAAATACGTACCTTGGTCGCGAAACACCGACAGGTCTCGACATGTCTTATCACGCCAAATTTTACAATTGTAATGGCGACTCCTCATTGTACCCAGCAGCGCTCGCGAATTAGGTGGTGGATGGTGGTACCATCCGATGTTTCCTAAAGCTTCCATTTCGCGAAGGAATTCCTTGACTTTGAATTTCAGAGACTGTAACAGAAATAAAATACAAATTAAAAACAAATAAAGAATAATTGAACTTTAAATAATATGTATAAGATACGTAATTTCGTTTAGAAACGTATAAAGTATCGACGCTGGTTAGTTATCGAAGAAAACACGTGAAACCCGTCTCAGTTTTTGCAACAATTCCGACTTAATTTATAGTAGGAACGTATTAATATTACACGAAAGCATCGTTCAAGAGTAAACGCGTGTAGTAATAATGATGAAATATCAACAGGTTAGAAATACGTACCTTGTTGGTCGCGAAACACCGACACGTCTCGACACATCTCACTACTTTAATTTTCAGAGTCGAATGACGACACCTCGCGGTACACTGCAACGCTCACGAATTATGGAGCGGGGCGGGAGGAGGTCCGATGTCTCGCAAAGCTTGTTTACGATAAGGAATAGGGACACTTTAGGTAGAAACCGCGGTTACAAAACAAAACATCGAAGATACTAAGTCTACGTACTAGACCAACGTAAATACCATGACTGTAGAACCATATTGATGGATGAATAGATTCTTGAATTCGTTCATATTATTCACTTCAAAAATCACACGTGATTATTGTTCACAAAATTACATTTCTTACGTACAGAGTGCGTACGTGAGACGACGAACAATTCTGTTCGATTATCGATCAAAGAATTTCTGTCCTAATAAGACGAACAAATTTTATTGATAATAATAATCGTTTGCGAAGTTAGACTACCACGGATCTGTTGGCACTTCACATTTCGTAGCACTCACCGTATCTAGATTACACGTTTTGGAATATATCTTTTATAAACAATTGCTTCATCACGAATTAGGTATTGTTTACACCGTCGATGCAACGAGAGGTTGTGTTTCAACGAACCGAAATTCTGACCACGTGAAAAATCAGCAGTTTTACAACGCACTCTGTGTTTATGGCAATGACTCTGAGAATCATATGTAACCCCATCATTGACGTCGGTAACGCCAGCAATTTCATGAATTTAGTTTCTAATGCGATATCGACAAAAGTTCTGTTCAAAAATTATTTACGCATTGTACAGTATAGTTCTAAAGTCAAGACACTTTTACATTACTCAAATTAGTTATGAACGGTCTAACACATCGAGGCCTGCTCCTCAAAATCTGGAAAAGCAGACGCGAAAAGTTCTCAACTCTGCGGTTGACATAGAGTTCAGTTAATATTTAATTTTTATCAGATTTATACATAAATAAAGAGACAGTCCCTAATAAAACTGGGAGTTTCAAATATCTCTTACCATCGGTCACTATGAATTAGCATATGGTCACCTTAATCACCGGTGGTCAGCAAGTGGTCGACAAGGGTTCGGGAATTTAGTGAAGATCTAGAAATGATCAAGAATTGCATGCAACGCTTATTCTATACCTCGTGTGTGGTATAACATTGGTATATCAAAAAGGATAGTGTCGAATTTTTATCGACTAAAACCACACAATGACTAACCTCGTCACGGTGTACGGGGATCATGGAAGTCACTCCCAGTGCCCCATACTTAATGCTATTCTTCGTCAACAGAGGTCTCTACCAGGACTACGTGGACAAGTACGCTATCTACTGGAGTTTTCTATAATTAGTAGACCTTCTATCTCTGTTTACTGAGAATCAGTAAGTACATGATTCTACTGTTAACCGCTTTTGGTTATAGTCCCGAAACGTGTCTATCAAGACCACGGATTACTGGAACTATCACTGTTTTTACGATAAGTAACTGAAAATGTCGGAAATTTCCATGTCAGAAGCGCCACACTTGCAACAAATTGATCTGACAACTTTAAATCTGCAACAACTTACGGTATTGAAGCAGCAATTGGATCAAGAGCTAGGTGTCTTTCAGGACTCGTTGCAAACTTCGAAAGTTGCTCAAAGTAAATTTCAAGAATCAGGATTGTGTCTCGAGAAGATTTCACCGGCTGCGACGGGTAGGTATCTAGTACTATAATTCGCGTAGTACATAGTTGATACGTTTTTTGAGGTTAGGGTCTGTAGTACAATTTATGCATTGTAATCGAGTAAAAATGACTTTATTATAGGTAATGAAATCCTGGTACCATTAACTGGATCAATGTATGTCGCTGGAAAGCTTGCAGACACAAGTCATGTGCTAGTTGACACACGGGATATCAGAACTTGAGTAAGCGAAGCCATCAAGGGGGGAAGGACGTCGGGACCCGTCAAGATAGAAGCACACACGAGGTATATGAATAGACCTTTCACCTAATATAATTTTTCGGCCCGAGTTTCTGGGGTCCCGAGACCCCATTACCATTTTCGTGTCACTCGCAACGTTATCAACAGATTCAGAAATTAACACAAGAGGAAGTGAGACAGAAAATAAAATTACATAAATTTTATTATTTTTTAACGGAATTAAAGCTGTACGGTCCATCATTGGACATTAATTGATTAATTTGATTGGAGTAATCAATTGATTAAGATTATTTAAAAATTTCAAGACTATTAAAATACCTACGGATGTATTTCATTGATACGTACACCGCAAATTCTCTATTTTTTATTTTAAATTGTAATACATCATTTATTAAAAAAATAACTCGGCAGAAACGTATTTGCGACTCGAAATCAGTTTAATCAGACTGTGCATCGGGGCCCCGGAAACTCCTCATTCCTCACTTTCGCACACTATGCCCAATTGCGTGTACGTGAGCTCGTTGAGTTTCGGAAGAGCCCAGAAGAACAGGCTGATACTCGCTTTCCTTCTCGCTCTTGCATCGCTGACGTCGCTTACATTTCTCGAAAGCAAGCCTGGCATCGCATCGCCACCCGTTTGAATCGTCAGTAAACGACAAAAGCCATTGTGACTGACAGACATTGACTTTCCATACGAAGCGACCATACGTTATATACATATACATGTTATACATGCTAGGAACTATAAGTTGTATAACTTTCGTCGTATATCTACTTTCTAATAACATGGGAAAATTTTAAAATATAAAAAAATGTAAGAATACCGTAGAATTTTTGCAATGGAGAATTATTGAAGGAAAATGAATTGATTATATACATATGTATATATCGGACACATCCCTCGCAAACACGCTGCAAACATTAATGAGAACAAAACTACAAATCCGTCCTTTTTAAAAACCCCGCGACTGATCTTCGACTCGCAACTCGTCCTCTGCATTTAGCAATTATAATAAACGTAGACTCATTAAAATTCGTAAAAATAACAAAGTTATAGCCATTTAGAGGGATGAGTACCCAACGGTTAATAATCATACCAGAAATTTTAAATGCGTTTTTCTCGAAACCATATTTTCGAAATTAGCTGACATAATATCACAAATTCATATTGATTAATGGATTTGAAATTTATAGAGACATGCCTGTATGTTAGAAATTTTGCCTTTGACGGTTCTGGGGTAAGTCCTGTGCCGTTCCTCACAGTGCTCTTACCGGAAGGTCCCGCGTCTTCCCCACTCCGTGGCCAGATCCTTCAGGTCAAAGTTTTTATTTTTTCTAACAGTACGACGTCAGGTCGTCTGCCTCTTTTAACACTTTGCCTGCCACGTCACCCATATATGGGTGACAGAACTTTTAACAGTAGAACTGTATTAATGAATTCTCAAGTTGAAATGTTAAAGAAAATAACTTTTAATAGGCTTCGTAAATTTTAATGAGGTTACGAAAGCAACTACTACGACAACTTTTAAGTTGTGTAGTTTACAATTGCCTAATATGAAAGTTTTGGTCTCGTAAACAATTTTAAGATTTTAGACTGGCAGTCATCGTGTTAACTACTCTCTCTCCATTCATAAACAATCAATGCCTCGACACGCGCTACCTGGAGACCCAACGCGGTCGTCCGCTATCGCGTCACCCGTTGCCAGGCCTGTTTAGTCTCATTTATTTATTTATATATTTTACTTTTTCCCCCTCCTGTAAATTTTATGTTTGTATTAAATAAATGAGCCAATCCTGGCGGCACTGCAATGCTAGGCTGACTTGCGACAGAGGTGGAGCAAGCCCCAACTGCTCCGTCCATTTCCAAAAATCAGATTAATATTCTGACTCCCCGATGGGCCCAAGGCCCCATTCAGGGGCAAAGCGACAATACTTGACTCTCTGGTGGGAAGTGTATCAGATATTAAGCTGATAAGAACAGATAAATGGCTATTTATTTTCAACTAATGTTTCCCCGGAGCCGAGGCCCGGGGGATCAGATACAGCGCATACAGTTTTTCTTAAATTTTTACAATTTCGAAAGGGCCAGGGACAGTCCCCCTGCGCCCTTGTAGTCGCATTACTCTATACTTTTAAATCGCGCTAGGCGTCCAACTAATAAAAATCCTCTTTTAAATGAACCACTTTGGCCGTGTCCTTAGGCATATTAACATTAACATTAACAGCGTGTGTATATATATATATATAACCAAATAAATAAATAAATTAAATAAATAAATAAATATATGTGGACAAACACAACAACGATCAATATAGCAAATAGTGGGTGTAAAGGGCTGCACTAGTTGTCGAGTATAAATTAAAATAAATAGAATAAAATACAGTAAAATAAAATAAAATACAATAAAGTGAAATAAATTATACACATATGTTGGGCGCCCGCTACTCGTCTTCTCGAGCTCGAGGCAGTCCGGTGGTGTCGTTATTTCCGGCCCCTCGACCCCCACGGTCGTCATTTGTTCGTAACACTCTTATCCGCGCCGCCGCGTTCTCGTTGGCATCGGGCGCCGCGGTCGGGGCGGGGTACTGCCGATTCCCGGAAACATGCTCCACGTAGATGTCCCTGGACCAGGCTATGGTCTCTGACACCATGAGTAATAATTATTATTATTCCTATTATTATTTGGGCCTCGGCCCATGTTTTGGCCCCGTTCCGCCTCCACGGGAAGTACGACCGCTCTAGCGCTGCCGGGGGGCCTTCCTCTTCACCCCGCTGTTGCCGCGCGCTTCCTCGGCACGGGAGTCCACAGCCGTGCCCTCTTCGGTCCTCTTCTGGGGGCCCCCACACTCGATTCCTCGTCCATTCCCCTGTCGTCGTCTCGGCCGGCGAGGGTGTTCCGGTCGACCTCTTCCTCTTGTCCCTCGCCGTAGCTGTCGTTGCCACCCTGGTGGTGGCGGCAGGCGGCCCCCAGGTGACCTCCGCGAAGGTGGTGGTGGGGGTCACCCTTCTGGTGCATCCCCTCGATGCAACCGTCATGGCCACGGGCTGCGTCCCGCTGCGCCTGGCGGCGACGGTCAGGAAGTTCCTCATCGTCGTCGTAGCGGCCCTCGTCGCCGCTACCGTCGCCGCCGTCGTCCCCCGCCTCGTCGATGTCCTCGCCGTTGTCGTAGTGGAGGCGGAGGTCGTAGTCCTGCAACGGGAGGTCGATACCGCCACCGCTGGCACGCGTCTTCACGCGCATGGCGGTTCGCCTCCCCGAACGGTCGGTCGACCCGCTTCGGCGGGATTCGGGGCCTCGCTTCTCGCGCCCTCGCGGGGGGAGCCCGTCCCCCCCCGCGATTCCGCTGGGCGGTGATGCAGTTGCGTTGACCGGGGCGGCCGATGGTGCACCAGCTGCAGGAGGATCCAGTGCACCACTACTATGGTTTGCTGCGTGGTGCAGCTTCACCTTTCGCAGCGCATACGCGCTGTTATCGGTGAAGCCACACTCACCGCATACAAACCTCCGGGTTATGCCCGAGTGATGGAGTCTAAGGTGCTTACCTAGATCCTCGTGCCGCCGGTACACCGCCGCTCCCCTTTGCAGCGCCGTGGCCCCCCGGTGACAATGGGGGCAGTTGAAAACCTCGAGGAACGGGAATGGTACGATTACCTCGTTTCCCCGGGCGACGCATCCAGATCCTTCGGCCATGCCTGAAACTCACAAAAGCAAAGCAAGCGAAAGTAAAAGAGCGTTAAAAGCAAGAGCAAGATCAAAGGAAGAAAGGGAGTCAGAATATTTAAAAGCAGAAAGTTAAAATTAGCAAAAGTCAAAAGTTAAAATAAGCAAAAGTCAAGAAAATTTAAAAAATTTAAATAAATAAATAAATAAATAAATAAATAAATAGAATACTTAAAATTGTCGTAGGGAAAAATTGAGCCAATCCTGGCGGCACTGCAATGCCAGGCTGACTCGCGACAGAGGTGGAGCAAGCTCCAACTGCTCCGTCAATTTCCAAAAATCAGATTAATATTCTGACTCCCCGATGGGGAGTGTATTAGATATTAAGCTGATAAGAACAGATAATGGCTTTTACTTCAAATAATGTTTCCCCGAAGCCGAGGCCCCGAGGATCAGGTACATTGTATACAATTTCTTTTTTGTGTTTTCTTCCCTTTGCAAATTTCAAAAGGGCGCAGGGACAATGCCCCTGCGCCCTTGTAGTCGCATATTATTCCATTAATAAGTCGCGCTGGGCGTCCATCTAATACAGATATAAATCCTCTTTTGGGCATTAATATTATCAGTCAATAATAATAGATAAATAAATAAATAAATAAATAAATAAATAAATAAATAAATAAATACATACATAGGCAAACACAACAACAACAACCAATCAATATGCCACGTAGCAAGTGTATAGGGCCGGACTACTTGTCAAGTCTACCTAAAGAACGAATAATTACATAAAATAGAATAAATAAAATTTGGTAAAATAAACTAAAACAAAATACAACAAGGTAAAAAGCCCGACACGTATCATGGACGTCCGTTACTCGTCATCTCGAGCTCGGGGCAGTCCGGTTGTGCCATTATCTTCGGCCCCTCGACCCCCACGGTCGTCATTTATTAGCTGCATTCTTCTTCGCGCCACCGCGATTTCGTTGGCCTCGGGCGCTGCGGTCGGGGCGGGATACTGCCGAATCCCGGAGACATGCTCCACGTACATGTCCCTGGACCAGGCTATGGTCTCCGATACCATGAGTCGTCTCATGATCCTCGCGTAGAACCATGAGACGCGCAGCGTCTTCAAGAGGGCCTCATTCTCCGGGCACCAGGCGCCCAGGGACCCAACAATGAACGCGTCCACGTGGACGGTGTAGCCGCGCCGGCGGTGAGCACACGCCAAAGGCGCGTATTTGCGCAGCTTCTCCGACTTGACTCTTCGAAGATCCTCTTCGGATTTCACCGGGAAGACGGGTCACCCTCGCAAGCCTGCGAACCAGGCCGTGGTGTCGGAGCTGGCGAGCCGCCGAATGAACGCCGCAGTGACCGAGCACGCTCGCTGCGTCCGCTCACCTCCGGTCACCATCGGGTCACGACGTGCAGCTGCCCTCGGGTCGGCCGCACTCCCACGCCCTCTCGTCGCCGTCCGCCTTCGATCCATGGGGGCGCCCCTGGAAATGACCGCGGGGGTCGCACCACTCGGGGCCGCAGTTCCTCTGAAAACAGAGCCCCGGTTTGACCCAGGGGTATTAATCGGACTGCCCCGGCTCGCGTCCACTATATTGTCATTAAAAATATCATATTGATGTTCGTCATTTTCGTTAATAAGATTAAAATTAATGGGGCTGGTAGCCCTGTCGCAGTACCTTCTGCTGCCATTATCTTTAGTCATGGTGATAATAATAACATTGTTAGGGTCTCGGTCCATGTTTTGGCCCCGTTCCGCCTCCACGGGAGGTCCGACCGCTCTAGCGCTGCCGGGGGGCCTTCTTCTTCTTCCCGTTCCTTTTCCACGCTCCCCCGGTACGGGAGTCCGCAGCCCTGCCCTCTTTCGTCCTCTTCTGGGGGCCGCCACTCTCCATTCCTCGTCCGACGACGACGACGGAACCACCGCTGCCTCTGCTTCTTCTCCCGACGACGACTCCTCGATGGTCGGGAGATTCCTCCCCCTCCTTCTCCTTATCGTCCCCACCTCCGGGGAACTGGGGGCGGTGGTGTTGCCCCCCTCCGTCTGTCCCCCGGGCGGGAGTGACGTCGCCCGGGCGCTTCTCCCTCTCCTCGGGGTGCGGCACTCTATCGCCGCCGGTGATGTCGTCGGCGGCGTTCTTCTTCCGGCCGCGACTGGTACCACAGCCTGGGGGGTGCCACTGGTCCTCCTCCTGCGTCCTGGTGTCCCCGAGGTCGTCCGAGGGCTCGGTGGCGGCCCTCCTGGTTCGAGCGCTCGTTCTGGGCGCGAACGCCGGCGGCGAGGTGGAATTGCCACCGGCTGTCCCCCTCGGCGATGGAGTTGGACCCCGGGTGGGCGGTAGTGTCACTACCGGTGCAGGGATTGACCCCCGAACCACCGAGGTCGTCGTCGTCGTCGTTGCCGCCGCTGTCGTTGTCGTTGCAACCACCGGGGTGGTTCTGCCGGGCGACAACAAATGGCCGGAGTTGGTCTGGGGTAGATTTCCGGCGAGGGGGCTCTGTCATCGTCCCGGCCGGCGAGGATGTTCCGATTGGCCTCCTCTTCTTATCCCTCGCCGTAGCTGTCGTTGCCACGCCGGTGGTGGCGGCCGGCGGCCCCCGGGTGACCTCCGCGAAGGTGGTGGTAGGGTTCACCCTTCTGCTGCATCCCCTTGGTGCAGCCGTCGTGGGTACGGGCTGCGGCCCGCTGCGCCTGGCGGCGACGGTCAGGAAACTCCTCATCGTCGTCGTAGCAGCCCTCGTCGCCGCTACCGTCGCCGCCGTCGTCCCCCGCTTCGTCGATGTCCTCGCCGTTGTCGTAGTGGAGGCGGAGGACGTAGTCCTGCAACGGGAGGTCGATACCGCCACCGTTGGCACGCGTCTTCTCGCGCATGGCGGTTCGCCTCCCCGCACGGTCGGCCGACCCGCTTCGGCGGGATTCGGGGCCTCGCTTCTCGCGCCCTCGCGGAGGGAGCCCGTCCCCACCGCGGGTCCGCTGGACAGGTATGCTGATGCGTTGCCCGGGGCGGCCGATGGTGCACCAGCGGCAGGACGATCCAGTGCACCACTACTGTGGTTTGCAGCGTGGTGGTGCTTTACCTTTCTCAGCGCATACGCGCTGTTGTCGGTGAAGCCACACTCACCGCATACAAACCTCCGTGATATACCGGGGTGATGAATTTTAAGGTGTTTACCTAGATCCTTGTGCCGCTAGTACACCGCCGCTCCCCTTCGCAGCGCCGTGGCCCCCCGGTGACAATGGGGGCAGTTGAAGACCTCGGGAACGGAAATGGAACGATTACCTCGTTTCCCCGGGGAATGCATCGAGATCCTTCGGCCATGCCTGAAACTCACAAGTAAAAGCAAGCAAAGTAAAAGCAGGCAAGCAAAGCAAGAGTAAAGAAAGTAGTTAGAAGGGAGAGTCAGAATATTTATAAGTTAAAATTAGAAAAGTCAAAAAGTTAAAATAAGCAAAGTCAGGAAAATTAAAAATTTAAATATTTAATTAAATAAATAAATAAATAAATAAATAGGATACTTAAAATTTGGTATGGGAAATTGAGCCAATCCTGGCGGCACTGCAATACCAGGCTGACTCGCGACAGAGGTGGAGCAAGCTCCAACTGCTCCGTCAATTTCCAAAAATCAGATTAATATTCTGACTCCCCGATGGGGAGTGTATCAGATATTAAGCTGATAAGAACAGATAAATGGCTCTTTATTTTTCAGAAAATGTTTCCTTGGAGCTGAGACCTCGGGGATCAGGTACATCATATACAATTCTCATGTTTTATGTTTTTTATAATTTCGAGAGGGCGCAGGGACAATCCCCCTGCGCTCTTGCAGTCGCATAACGTTCTATCCTCGATTCGCGCTGGGCGTCCATCTAATAAAGAAAATCCTTTTTCGCATAACGCGTTTCAGCCGTGTCCTTAGGCGTCTTCCGAATAATATTAACAATGAATAAATAATACGTAGATAAATAAATTAAATAAATAAATAAATATATACATGGACAAACACAACAACAACAAACAATATATCACATAGTCGGTGTACAGGGCCGCACTAATTGTCAAGTATAAAAAAAAAGAAAAAAGAGAACAAAAAAAAGGAACAAAAACGAGAATAAACAAAATAAAATAAAATATAGAATCGAAATATAAAAAATACAATAAAGTAAAATAGCCTAAATACGTATGATGGACTCCCGCTGCTCGTCTTCTCGAACACGGGGCAGTCCGGTGGTGCCATTATCTTCGGCCCCTCGACCCCCAAGGTCGTCATTTATTTGGTGCATTCTTCTTCGCGCCGCCGCGTTATCGTTGGCATCGGGTGCCACGGTCGGGGCGGGGTACTGCCGAATCCCGGAGACATGCTCCACGTAAATGTCCCTGGACTAGGCTATGGTCTCCGATACCATGAGTCGTCTCATGATCCTCGCGTAGAACCATGAGACGCGCAGCGTCTTCAGGAGGACCTCATTCTCCGGGCACCAGGCGCCCAGGGCCCCAACGATCAACGCGTCCACGTGGACGGTGTAGCCGCGCCGGTGGAGAGCACACGCCAAAGGCGCGTATTTGCGCAACTTCTCCGCCTTGGCCTCTTCGAAGATCCTCTTCGGATGTCACCAGGAAGACGGGTCACCCTCGCAAGCCTGCGAACCAGGCCGTGGTGTCGGAGCTGGCGAGCCGCCGAATGAACGCCGCAGTGACCGAGCACATGGGGAAGGCTCTCGAGTTTGTACCCGCGTCGCCGACAGCGCTTGTCGCCTCAGCGGATCCCTCCGTTGAGCGGGAGGATGTCAAGGCGTGCACGATGGATGAAGTGCCAGTCGGCGAAGCGAGTGAACGACCCCCCACGCATGAAATGATTTCTCACCGCATGGCGGGAGGTCACCCCGAAGACCTTCCCCTCGTCAGGTTTACGGACCAGTGTCTCCATGTAGGATTATCTCTGGCTTCGCTCCCGATGACACCACGACCGGCTCGCCCCGCGAAGCAATCTCCATCGAGAGCTCGACCCGACCATCGTTCCATCTCCATCGAAACCCGAACCGCGCTGCAGACCTGAGCGCGGCGGACCTCACCCGCGACCAGAATGAGGAACATCCACCGGTTGGCCACGCGAAGTCCCCGGTCAAACAACCCGACAGGTACTCCGCGAGGTCCCCCTCTGTCGGAGGCCGACGTAGCTTGTCCCGCGCCGCTGTGTCATGCTCTTGCCAGATTCCTGAACGCGGGGTCCCGGTCGTCACGACGGCCAGGTCTGCCAGTGGGAGGAGCCCACGCCCACCCCGCGAGGGAGGGATGTAGACCACCTCCGCGCTGGCCCGCTGTGGCAAATTGAGCCACCCCTTGACCGTGCGTCTAACTGCCTTGTCCACGTCCGCCAGATTTTCCTTAAACTGGCGCCCCGTAGCAGGAAGTCCAACCCTGGAATTATCACCGATTTTAAGGTTTCCACCTTCTGCCACGGAGCCAGTAGGGAGCGATCCACCGCCCCCAGGTCCCTCAGCACGTCCCGGATCGCGGAGTAGGGCGTCTGGTCGATCCGAACCCCGGTGGGTATGCCCAGATGTTCGTAGGCGTCCCCATCTTCGAAGGAGCCCGTCCCCTCCGCGGGTCCGCTGGACGGGGATGCAGATGCGTCGCCCGTGGCGGCCGATGGTGCACCAGCGGCAGGACGATCCAGTGCACCACTACCGTGGTTTGCAGCGTGGTGGTGCTTTACCTTTCTCAGCGCATACGCGCTGTTGTCGGTGAAGCCACACTCACCGCATACAAACCTCCGTGATATACCGGGGTGATCAATTTTAAGGTGTTTACCTAGATCCTCGTGCCGCTAGTACACCGCCGCTCCCCTTCGCAGCGCCGTGGTCCCCCGGTGACAATGGGGGCAGTTGAAAACCTCGGGGAACGGGAACGGTACGATTACCTCGTTTCCCCGGGCGACGCATCCAGATCCTTCCATGCCTGAAACTCACAAAAGCAAGCAAAAGCAAAGTAAAAGAGCGTTAAAAGCAAGAGCAAGATCAAAGGGAGTCAGAATATTTAAAAGCAGAAAGTTAAAATTAGCAAAAGTCAAAAGTTAAAAGCAAAAGTCAGAAAATTTAAAAATTTAAATATTTAAATATTTAAATAAATAAATAAATAAATAAATAAAATACTTAAAGTTTCGTAGCGAAAATTGAGCCAATCCTGGCGGCACTGCAATGCCAGGTTGACTCGCGACAGAGTTGGAGCAAGCTCCAACTGCTCTGTCAATTTCCAAAAATCAGATTAATATTCTGACTCACCGATGGGGAGTGTATCAGATATTAAGCTGATAAGCTGATAACTCGGTGGACAACTTAGCCGAATAAATTGTTAACATCGGCTGTGCAGACAAACAATGTTTTAGTCGTTCGAAAACTTCGTTCTCTTCCGACCCGAATTTACAATTGTTACTTTTCACGATATCATAAAGAGGCTTCGCTACGCGTGAAAAATTCGGGACGAACTTCCGAAAATAGCTCGCCAGTATGATGAACTCTTGAACTTGTCGAACGGTACGTGGTATCGCATAGTTCGCCACCGCGTCTCCATGCTCTTTACTTGGACTTATGCCCTTTTCGTTGATTAAGTACCCCAAATAAGTAATCACGGTGTATAAAAATGAACATTTATCGAAACGGAAGTTCAGTCTATGCTCTCGCGCTAAACGAAAGACTTCAGCGAGAATCCGAAGGTGTTCGTCAATATCCTCCGTCGCGATCAAAGTATCATCCAGATACAACAGGATTTGATTCCGCTCTATTAGCGGTCTAAAAATCTTGTTCGTAAACCTTTGAAAGACGCGCGAGGCGTTCGTTAGCCCGAACGGCATCTTCAGATATTCATATTGCCCTAAAGGGGTCACGAAAAATGTGTACTTAATGGACGAATCGGAGATCTTTACATGGTGAAAGCCAATCTTCAAGTCTAACTTACTACAATATCGTTTGTCCCTGAATCGATATAAATGATCCTCGATCAAAGGCGTCGGGAAATTCTCGCGTACAGTAATTTTATTTATTTCGCGGTAATCAATGCATATTCTGGTCTCGCCATTCTTTTTTCGAACCAAGACGATCGGGCTAGCGTATTCGGAATCGCTCGGCCTAATAACGCCATCGCTCTACAGTTTTTCTAAAATTACTCGCAGCTTCTCCTGATCTGAGAAGGCCAAACGTCTCGGGCGGTAAGCGATAGGACGATCATGTTTGAGATGAATTTTCATTTCGAAATCAATTTCCGTCGGGGTAACATCCATTCGCGACACGTCCGTGTAGAGTCGTCGAAGTTCTGACGCGACATTAGGATCAATTTGCGAATTTATATCTAACGCTGTTAACGATTCATTCGAATTGTCATTAATATCGATGCTCAGGATTTCTCTAGCCGAGTCTAACGAATCATTTTCACGCGGGACGTATTCTGCGTCGATAGTGTTCCCGAACGTTACTTTCACCGACGAATCCGAAATGAAATCTCTTCCCAATAACGCGTCGAATGTCATGGTACCGTACGGCACCACCGCGAACGACAATGTCATGTTGACAGAACTAACGCAAACCTTCTCCCTAAACAGTCCCAGTATGACAACCTTCGATCCGTTAATTCCGCACAGGTCGTAGCCCGGTACGGGAGTACGCGAGCTAATCGGTATGTAACGACTTTTAATGAGGTTTACGGGCCATCCTGTGTCGACCAGCGCGGTAATTTTAAAGACGCGACTAGTACCGCGGTCATCCGAAACGGCATAAGTCACCGGTAGCTGATATGGCTCCGTCGACGACGAAGACTGCACCAGGTTCGCCGTGTCCTGCGGAGTCCTCTTCTTCGGGCAATCCTTGATCCGGTGGTCGAGACT